TTTTATTCAAAAATAAAAACATCATCGATTTCTCAAAATCACATAAAGTCATATTATAACATCGACTGAGATAAAAAATAAAATGAAATATTAAATCACGATGTATCTCGCTGCATTGCGCGAGTACGCTTCTAGTCTTATTAAGCAGATTTCCTCAAAGTCTTAAAGTATTAAAATTATAAATACCCAAAATACCCTCATCCATCTATCCATCTAAAATCTTAATCTTAATTACAACTTTAATAGCCCAAGTTACAACTGCGCTCTGCATAAAAAACTTTTACCACTCAGATTCATACCCACCGGCTACCAGTGACGATTCAAGGCGACGATTGCTTTCTCCAAGGCGACGATTGCATTTGTCCAAGACAACGATTCAGTTTTTGATGCAGGTCTTATTTGTGTTATTGATACTTCACGTGCCCCTATCCTCCATCGATTTAGGGTTTTTTTCTCTCTTCTCATACCATTTTCAGGTAAACCATCTATTTCTTTGATTTCTTACCACTCAGATTCATACCCACCAGTGACGATTTATACTACGATTCCCTTTTACAACTCAGATTCAAGACGACGATACAGTGACATATGGAATTCGGAGGAGCCCTAAAGCCTGGCCTCTGTTTGCCGGTTGAGCAGATCCTCAAGGTTTGGACTATTTAGAGGAGTTGGACGACGATTCCCTCTGTTTGCCGGTTGCTCCATCGATTTAGGGTTTTTTTTCTCTCTTCTCATACCATTTTCAGGTAAACAATCTATTTCTTTGATTTCTTATCACTCAGATTCAAGACGACGATTCAGTGACATGGAATTCGGAGGAGCCCTAACTGTACCCAAGTGATCCTAATATGCTTTTTTTTTCTTCATATTTTGAACATTAGAAAAGTATTATAAGGGTTTGACTATAATGGAAGTGAACAGAAGCTTGACCAGATCCTCCTAGAGAACTAAGAACCATGTGCTCTATGGTGAAGAGTGGTGTCATTTCTGCTATATTTTGTTGAATGAATGCACATAATCATCAGGTGGAGGGTTAGGGAATCGAAGATTTGATCTACTACCACTTTTGGTTGAGTCTTTTTTGTTCCTTTAGTTCTTATTCCAATCTATTGAATTGTTCCTGTTAGTTTTTTCTGCCTCTGTTTTATGTGAACATAGTATTCTTAGATTACAATAATCTTTTTTTGGTGTGTATGATTTACAACATTTTTTATTCCACCAGAAGAAAATTTGGTAAGTTTTTAGGTCACAAAGTAAAGTTTGGGGATACATTTTCTTTGTTGCAAATTCCAATTTTTKATTGTTGTCGAAATCTTTCTCTTTTGCAGGCCCTGAATCTCTTCCAAGTCAAGGGGCTTCGATTTACAGGTTTACATCTTCAGTCCATTGCTTAATTTTTATTTTCGATTGCAATTGATTGTTTGTTTGTTTGCCTCTAYGTTTCATATAYGTATAGCAATCGGTACCAGAGTGTGTAGTGACATAAAAGAATTCTTTTCAGGTTTGGGTGTCTCCTCTACAAAATCAAACAACATTTCTGTGGAAGCTGCCAAACCAAAAGTTGTAAGGGAAGCATTTGATTTTTTGTTTGCATTTGTGTGGAAGGCCCAACCAACATTCGATCCTTCATTTTTCTATGTTTATATGCATGATTCCTATTTCAAGCTTTTATTAAGAGTGTATGCATGTACCCATTTCATATTTATTCTTATGTTTATATGCATGATTCCTTCATTTTTCTAACAAGTTTAAGTGTTTGTGTGTGTAAATGTATGTCCCAACGGTTTACCGTCTTTATCTCTATGTGCTACTTCGCATGGTTGGCACACTTTAAACCTTTCAGGATGGAAATCCAAATTGTTTTTTGAAATCCAAAATGTTTTTAGACAAAACATACATGCAATTGGTTTCTATAAAGTCCATATAGTATTGTTTTCATTTATGTTGGGTTTATACACATGTTCATGGTTTACAATTTGATTGTTTGAGGGATAGACTTTCCGAGTAGGCTTATTCAACTTTTTCTATTTTTGGATTTCAGAGAAGATAGATCTTACAAGTTGTGGCTTGATGAATGATTCAGGTAATGGGCTAATGTTCTTTTTGTTGAGCATGATTTGATTTGGTTTATGTGCAAAGGCTTTTGAAATTTCGGYAGTAGAAATGCACCAGGATCTGGTGAACGTTTAGTAAATGGCTGATTGTTACTACACTACTTATAGTTATCTAATGATTTGGCAGTGGATTTAGACCAATCCAAAAATTTGGATATGATGTTTATTATCTTTTCATTTTCTCATATCATATAATATATTGTTTCATGTGTTCTTCTAATGATGGATGAGTACATTGGTTGATGTTGTGTTGTATTTATCGTGTTCACGTGTTGAACCTTTGTAGTTGGTGGAATTCTAGGAAATTTCACATGAAGATGTATTTCTACGTGAAGATGTATCGGTGACTATTACTAGCTATTGATGAGACAAACAATTGCTCGAATAGTCGGGTTATATTCATGAATTRTTGATTGGTTTTAATTTTTATTATTTTCTTTAATGTTTAGATGTAAGAACTTTCTTTTAAACTCATACCTACATAGATGCCAAATGCATGATAATACCAAATGTTTAAATGTAARAGCTTTCCTTAATGTTTAAATGAAGTTGCTTGAACTAATCTGGGGATCTGGAGATTTCTTAAAGTTTATCTTTGTCGTCAATTTCTGTTGACTTCTATGTGCCGTCATTTCATTTTTGTTTTTGCGATTGTGTATATTTATTTGTTCCTTTTTCAAGCTTTTATTAAGAGTGTATGCATGATCTTTTTGTTGTTGTTGAAGATTTGCTTTTGCTCACAACCCATTAATTTCAAGAGATTGATGATTTGATGTCATAATGTTATTTATACTTGCTTTATGTATATAATATATTCCTAATAAGGAAATTTCCTTAATTAATGYTGTTAAAAAATCATGAGTTGAATATTACAATAAAGTCTAAATTAAACCTAAAATGTAAAATCCAAAGTCCCATACATATGAATAGTAGTAGTTCAATGTAATTAGTATTTGAGTTTGAAATTATACTAAAACAATCATTTGGATTCGATGACTTTAATGTCGATTGAAAGGTTGTAGAGTTAAAATGTATGAGGTAGGATCCAAACCTGAACCCAAACTACTTCTCTAATATTGAGACCGTTGAGTACTGTGGATAGCCAAACTGAAAGATTTTGGTGGGTTTGTGGTTCAACATCCTCACAAAACAAAAGTGGTTCAGTCTTTTAGACTGACGAGAACATACGAAACTGTGTTCACCTACAGTTGTAATAAAATCAATGGCACCAGTGTTGATTGATGGTTGGAACAAATGTGGACGATGATTTGGTGGATAATAATGAAGATGTTTAAAAATTGATCTACTATTATTACCCACCCCTGCWTTGAATTATATATATGTTGGTGCAACAGTGGTTTCTAATGACATTGTCTTGAGATGTAAATATTATTCAAAAACTGAATTTGCTTTTTACTGTTGTTTTCAATCTGYATTTTCATGGATTACAACACCAAGTTTATTATGTTGCTTCCAACTTTATGTGGTATCTAAAAATTGAATTTATCTTTAATAGAACTTTTGCATCCCGCCGCATTGCGCGGGTACCCAACTAGTATAAATAAAAAGAAAGTTCGTTAATCTTACATATCTTAGTTAATTAAAAAAAATTCAAAAAATAATTAAATAAATATTCTTATCAAAAATATATATCAAAGTTTTATTATTTATGAAACAAAAGAAATATATAATTTTAACTTTTATATAATTTATAAAAACATTTTCAAAATTCTTATATTTGTTTTTTGACGACTAAATATATTAAATAATAATAATATAAAACTATTTGATAAAATTAATACTAATTCTCAATAATCAATAAGTATATTAATTAAATAATTAAAATTAAAATTAATTAATAATTGAAATTGTATAATAAATTGAAACTAATATTAATTAATAATAAATAATAATTAATATTAATTATGATTATAATTAAAAAAAGTGACAATAAACACTTAATAAGCTACTCCAACTAGCTTATCAATAAGCTAGCTTGTGTTCATCCAAATATGTATTCAAAAAATAAGGTAACTTATAAGCTAGCTGATATTTGTCAAAAAAATTCCTAAGTTATGTAAGTGTAAAGTTTGTGTGGATTGATCTATTTGGGAAGATTTTTGGTTCAAAAAGTTTTTTCATAGATGGAGAAACGTGTTTTTAAATTGGGAGGGCATGTTGGGAAAAACTCCCTTGAAACTTACTGAATAAGTCACATTCTATATCATTAAGCTACTACTAAGCCGTCATTTATAGTTGACCAAATAAGTTATAAGTCTCATTAAGCTTATTAAATTGCTAACAAATATGCCCTGAGTTTTGCATGTTCAAATTCACATCTCTTTGAATATAGTATCCAACTTATTTTGAGCAAAAGATTGATTACCGGCAATTCTGACCGGTTCCATACAAAACCCGTCTCCGGGAATAACATAAAATGAGATATTTCAAAACTGACCCAACGGTTAAGGCTAGGAGAGTGTTCAATCTTGGCTCTATAGGGGCGAACCCACTCTAGTTCATATGGTAACATAGTTCACCGCTTCGTTTCTTCTTCGTATTGTAAAAAATTTAAGGTCGTAAAAAGTGTCATCGTATCATTTTGTTGTGTACATTCGTATATATTTGGAAATTATGATGATAATACAGTTTAAATGACTTTTTTCCCATCCTATGTTTCATAATTTTGTCTCTGTTATTTCTTAGTTTTTACTTTTTAATTTCAAATTTATCATGTTTCTTGAAAACAAATTGCACAAAAAGACTCAAACACAAACCTCACATACATAAAAGAAGGAACTAATCAACAGAACAATAATGATTTTGTTAAAAATATTCATATATTTGTTTTTTATAGTCAAATGTTGTCACCACTTGAAAAATTCATATGTCTGTCTTTGCATCATCTGTATGATTCGAACTTGAACATGTTGTTTATTTGAGCAAAGTAGTTACGTCCCTTTTACAACTGAACCACACACCCCAAGGCAGTGTTTAAGTTATTGAAGGATCGGTTTGGTACGTAAAACAACAAAAGAAACACAAAAAAACTCGTTATTTCATTTTTAGTGACATAAAAATCGTACGGAACAAGTCATGTTTTTTTTTGTCTGCTTATCTGGAGCCAAATAATTAGTTTTGGATAATTAGTTGTCAAATGATAAAATAAAATTACGTATTTACCCTTTGTTTTAATCAAATTTGAGACATTTTTACTCGTATTTCACAATACTGCCTTTCAAAAAAATCAAGACAACGTCTTTATTGATTATTTAATCTATTAGTTCTTTAAAAACTCGAAATCTTCAAACACATAGACGATTGATATCCAATTTTTACAACTTCAAACAACAAAAATACATTTCAATAATACATCGTTTATATAATGAGTTTAATGAGACTTGCTATTTATTCAGTCAGCTATACATGACTGTTTGATAGTAGTTTTAATGATATAGAAAGTGGTTTGTTCAGTTTATGTAGAAAACTAAGTTTTTTTTTCCAAATTAAAGAACATGTTCACTATCTCCATGTATAAAAAAACTCTCCGAAACAAAAACTTTCTCAATCTATACAGACAGATTAATGCACACATATTTTTTTATCCATACAGGATATAATGAAAAACCAACTAAACAATCTCTAACTATCTGATCATGAATATTCAATATCACACAATCACTTTCAGAATGTAAATCGAATCCGTCCCCTTGGTATCACAAAAAGTAACCTTAAATACCCTTGTATTTTAACGAAACGACATACTTATATCAAGAACGCATCCGTAATGTCTCGATATAAGAATACGAGCCTTGGTTCGTGCACAACAACTCTAGGAACAATATAAAATCTACCTAGAAACAAACGGAAATCAAACAAGCTCGATAAATAAAGTTGCTAGGGGATAAATTCCGGCATCTTTAAGTGTCATGTCCATCTGATCAACACCGTAAGCTTTTCTAGGAAAACTCGATACGAGTCTATAGTTTCTACCTATTCCCGGCAAGCCTAGTGAATCGACGAATGCGAAAATGGCTTCGATTTTGTCCATGCATGAGAACGTCTTTTCCTTCCTTTCTCCGTTCGGAAACCGTATTAAAATCTGGAGCCAAAAAAAAAAGATATCAAGTACAAGTCCAAGTCCAAGTCCAAGTCCATAGCCAAATGTATAACACACGGTGTGGGTTAGCTCAACCGGCGATAAGGTTTGGACCTTTGGGAATCCTTCTCAGAGGTCATCGGTCCGAGTCTTGCAAAACCACTTGAGATTTTTTCTGACTGTTCTCAAAAAACCCACAAGTTGGTCTAAACACCTACGATTAAAATATTATGACTAAGTTTTGTAAGCAAACCTGGGCATCTTGGGCAATTGCATTATCTTGATGTTGAGTTCTCTTTTCTACTTTTGCTTCTTTTTTCTGAAGAAATGACAAATTTATCCTTAATAATAACGAAGCATGGAAATGGGGTGGGGACCCTAATTTTCATCTCCGTCCTCATCCTCGTCCCTACCGGGGAATATGATCACATCCCCATCTCCAACGGGCAAAGGGGATCTCCAACGGGATCCCCAACGGGGAAACGGAGATCTTTTTTTCTATTTATGTAAACTATTTTAAATCAAATATTTGAGACACCATACATGTTTAAATCCCACATATTTCCAATAAACTTAAAATCGAAAGGAATCTAATTTAATACAAAAAAAATCACAACATCATATAATAATTAGTAACCTCAAACAAAAAAAAAATCAATTTAATACAAAAAAAAAAAAAAACTTAACGTCGCACGTACCAAAACATATCATATAATGTCCAAAACATATATTATATATTAACATCCAAAAAAAATAACAATTTTAGATTCTCAACTTAATTAGGAAATATGACATTATGAATCACCTATTTATTTGAAATAAATAATATATATTTAAATCTTTTAATAAATATATATAACGGGTACCGGACAGGGTGGGCAGTGAGATACCCGTCCCTATCCCCATCCCCTTCCCCAGTTTGAGACAAACGGAGATCCCCGTCCCTGATCGAGGAGGGTGAACTAGGTTCATTGATGGGTCGGGGCGATTTCTGTGCCTAATAATAAAAAGATAATTAAATAAAATTTCATAATTAAGAGCTTAATTGAAAAGTAGACATTTACTTTTGAAAATAGAAACTTATTTTGAAACAAACTACAATGAAAATACGACCACTATAGAAACTTGAACATGATAGTTATAAATGTCTGTGTAATACAATTATTGTAGTCATACAAGTGATAAAATTGGCGTTATTGATTGATCGATCATAAAAAAAAACATGATTGAACGAACCTGATCGGCTTGAAGAGATGCCGAATAAGCGGCACCTTCTTGTCTCAACCGAAGATCGGCCATTCTCTTTTCTTCCACTTTTGCCCTTCCGTTACCAAACACCAATCCTTGCTCCTCAAGCATTGTTTGTAGTATTTCGACTAGTTCTTCTGGGGTCACCGGCCCTTCAATCTGCACAAAAAAAGACCAATTTGCTTCTGACTTTGTTACTCAATTCGTTCCAAAATAAACGTCTACGGTAAAAATAGTCAGACAGCTCAAAAAATATGTAATTATTACCATTTCTATTTATATAAATAATAATTTTACCTTTAATAATAAGGGTAGGATTAAAAAACAGACACTTTCTTTTGAAACTGGACATTTATTTTAGGCCAAATTAAAATAGAATTATGGACACCTATTTTGGAACACGATACAGCTAAAAAATCCAATCAAAAAATAGATGGACGATAGCAATGGCAGATCCATAAATTTACGTAACTGATGGCATAGGTAACACAAAATAAATCACACTATTTGCATTTGTATAGATATGGGTTCGTGATTTTAGTTCAGGGCTTGTTTCTTGGCAGTTTACTAAGCTTAATAGGACTCGTAGTTTATTTCATCAGTTATACATGACTATTTGGTAGTGGTTTAATGATATAGAAAATGACTTATTCAGTAAGCTTCTAAGGGAGTTTTATGCAGAAAGTCCAGTTTTTCCAATTCTGTTCTTCCCAATTAAAAAACATGCTCATTTTATCTATGAAAAAAACTTTCTCAAATAAAAATATTCACAATCTATAAAGACAGATTAATTCACATAGACAATTTTATTCATACAAAACTTAATGGAAAACCAATTTAAAAGCCCCTTACTTGTTGAATCACAGCTAAGCTATCGGCGGAACAAGGGGCCACAACCGCACAAAACGGAAAGCTAGCCGGTCGGAGAGTCGTGGCCATGTGCAAACCGTCACCGCTATCCGCACCGCCACCCCACGACACAAAGTTCGCATCAAGAAACTGCACCACCACCTCAGAGCACAAAGTCGCCTTGCAAAATGGTGGCGTAAATGGGTGATCAGGCGAGTGCAAATACAAGAACACGAGCTTTTCTTCGTCCCGTGCCATCTTCAAAGCTTCTACGAACCTGCACGCATAGAAGAATGGATGCACCACACCAAATTGTTGCTCGAAACCGGCCAGAAAACTCCAATCCGGCTGAAGATTGGTGGTAAACGACTGATCTAGCGGAGGCGGCTGGTGGTGCTGCTGCACAGGAACATGATATGGTGGTGGAAATTGATGGTGGTGGTTTCGCCGTCCTCCACTGGCTCTCATGACGTCTAGACCGTGGTCCAAGGCTCTTGAAATGGCTCGTGGGAGGTTAACCATTCTGCGCACGAGTCCAGTACACGAGGCTTCGACCATTTCTAACGGGCTAGCCATTTTCGGTTGAGCCGCAACACCTGGGTTCGAATCATATGTAGCTAGTTCTTGGAGTGAGCCAAAGTGATCAAGTAAATGGGAATCCAATGTAGTAAAAAGTGTTGCTTTTTTTGACTATTTTGATCAATTAGCAACAGTTCTATCATCATTAAGTTTATTTTTGTGGGTAATCAAGATTTGATCAATCAAGGTTTTGCACATCAATCAAGCATCAATCTTGATGCTTTTTTTTTTATGCATTTATTACACAGATATAATTGGACAGTACAGTTTGGATCTGTTGTCTCTTGTTTGACGTAATGTTAGACTGAGACGAGATAGAATTTGAGTGGGATAAAAATGTATTTTTTTGTCCCACCAACATATGGTAAATAAAAATCATGAAAATATGACAATATTGGTAAATTGTTAAACGTAACAAATTAAAAACCACAAAAACCAACCACAAGGGTGGTGTCTAATTGGTTTGAGCATGGCTCCAAAGGTCAAAAGTGTCTGAAGGTCCCAGGTTCAAATCCAAGAAGGAACAAAAATCCCCTTGTGGCCATGGAGGTTCAAATGCGGTGACTCCGGGCTACCTGCAAAGCAAGTAGTCGTCCTGGGATTAGTCGGCTCGCATAGCGAGTTGGATATCCAGGTTAATAAAAAAAAACACAAAAACCTTCCACGGTTTTTTCACCCATCTACCTCACTCTCGCCCGATACCCTTGTAACAGAACTACATGTTATCGTTCATATTTAGTATACTCATCTGTGCATTCCACATTTCTACGAGATACGATTATGAATGAGTTTACTCGTTACAAATTGTGCATTTCGGGCGTAAATGGTTTCTTCCCTGACCCAACTACGTTCATACTTGGATATTTTTGATTTGAAACTCGTTTGGCATCTAGTTTACTTCGGATCGAAGTGAAATATCAACTTGTAAAAGCACTGTATCTTTATGGTGTCGTAAAGATGAAGCACAATATCCCCACAACGATCATCAACCACCACCACTACCATATTTCAGAACATCCCTTTTTCAAATTTCGGCTTTTCTTCCTTTCTTGTTCTTTTTCTTTTTTCAATTTTTTGGACAAACTCGCGTTGTCTTCCATAAATTACTGATATTCACAAGAACAATCCTTAAACATTTTAAGAAAGAGAATAATTCTTTATACACCTTACTCTTTTAATACTTTTTTATTAACCTGGATATCCAATCCACTATGTGAACCGATTAATGTCAGAATGACCACCTGCTTTGCGGGTAGTCTGGAGTCACTGTATTTTAACCTTTATAATCACAAAAGAATTTTTATTTCTCCTTAAATTTGAAGATTCAAAATTTAAATTTTATTGATATTTAAAACCAAATTATAAGATGGGGTACAAAAATTTCTTTGATGGCATGATGGTTATTGGGTGGGAAATCTTATGATGGTCATATTGTATAATTTATTCTTATCCAAAAGCAAAATTGATTTTATATGCTTTTGGATTTTATGCAATTTTTTGAATTTTTTATTTTTTAGGGTTAGAATAGTAATTTCCGGAAAAGGCATGTAAAAAGTTGTTGAAATAAAATTGATTTTTTAATAAAATGTAAAGTTAAATTAATTATTCTTAAAGGTGTATGATTCCTGAATGTTATAATTAGTTTGAAAATTATATCTGCGGGTAGTTTACTGAATGTTTAATTGAATAAGTGTTTATTAGCAAAATTCAACACTGTCATTTATTTATGGGGTAAATTTTAGTTCACCAAAATGGTATCATATACAACAATTTGTCCGGTAAGTATTAACCATGGTAAGAGTCGTCGTTATTACTTACTGGGGAAGGCTTTAGGTCTTTGTCTTCGCTCTTAGCGGGCAAGATTATTGGTTATTGTCTTATTAATCTGATAAGGTAATTTGACTTGGCAACGCTTACCAGGTTAAGTGTCTAGTAAACAAACCCCTAAGTCTTCCATAAAATATTTATGTAAAATATTATTTTACTAGTTTTTATGTATATTTTTTTACTTTTATATCTATATTAAATTTAACAGTAAGGGATTGTTTACCAAACAATTACCCAATAAGCGTTTACCGGTAAAATTTAACACTATCACTTACTTACCGGGTAAGACTTTAGTCCACCAAAACGTTATCGTATGCAACGATTTACTCAGTAAGCGCTTCCATGGTAAGAGTCGTCGCCCTCACTTGCCAGGTAAGAGTCTTGGTCCTTGTCTCGCTCTTACCGGGTAAGATTTTTGGTCCTTACCATATTCATCCGGTAAAGTAATGTGACTTGGTAAGCGCTTACCCATGTAAGCATTTGATAAACGGCCCCTAAGTAGAGTTATTATAAGTCATTAATATAGTGGAGCTTTATAAAAAAATCTTAAGTTATTGAGTTGACAATGATGTGACAAAAAAAAAATTAAGACACTCTTTGAAGATGCTCTAAACCCCTTTAATCTTCGTCATTGACTGCTCATGATCGACTAGATAATCAAATTCATGATAAATATACAACTTTTATTGCATTACGTACATGTTATTTTAACCATTTAGGTTGTGATGCACTGGTTAAGTCTCAAGGGGATGTAGTGGAAAATCTCATCTACTCCAGGTTCGAATTCAGACGTTGTCAAAACTCTTATGACCATGGAGGTTCACCTGTGATGACTCTATCCCAGACAGAGTATTAGTCGGTGCACATAAACTGACCCAGAAACCTACGATGACCCCAAAAAAATAATACGTGTTATCTTAACATATTTGAAGACTGAAGTGAACATACATTTTTATCTTTTTCTAGAGTTTAAAATTTCTCAAATCCAAAAACAATATGCATCTTGACTCGACTTTATTATATAAACAGATTCAGTACAAATGTACAGCTTTTACTGTATAAAGCATATATCACTGTAACTTTTTTAAAGTCGATATACATTATATTTTTTCCAATGTTAAAAATCACAAATCCAAAGCAATAAACGATATATGTTGTAGGATGTGCAAGTCATCATAACATCATCTTCCTGATCAAAATCAGCAGTCAAACTCCAATAAAATATACAACTTTTATTGCGTGATGAAACTTACACCGTCATCACAACATACACATTTTATTGCATAACGTGACCGACACTATTAGAGAACTTTGGCTCTAAACACAATTAACTTTTGAAATGCGAAATGAGCAAATTAAAAGGAATCATTTCGTAATAACTGGTACATCATGCTTTAAAGGTTGTACACTGCATCCCATCACCGAGACAATATACACCCCCCATAGCATCATGTCCAGTTGTCCAAGTCATCATAACGACATTACTCTATTACAAAATCTCGAACCTAAAAAGCAACCATATTTTCTAAGTTGGAAAAGTAAACCAAACAAAATCATGTATAAAACACATGTACACTGTGTATTGAAAGTTGTACACAACATCAGCTTCTCCAAACGAAAGTTCTCACATCAACATGGAAACTGATTCCAAATCCAATTCTTGATCTTTCTACCTGCTCTGATACGAATTGTAGATCCCAGTTTCAAGTCACAATCAAGAACATAGACTGGATTGAATAAGTCGGCAAGTGTATTAATGTTCAATCAGTACAGAGTGTTCTTGAGATTACAATTTCATACCCAATATATGAATGATACTCGCTAACTACCACAAAGATTACAAAGCAACCAAACTAGAAACTGTAAAACTGTTTAGCACAAGGACTTGAATACAACATTTTTAACCCAACATGAACAATACACAACCCTCAATTAACGATGTCCAAATCACCCTAACAACATCTAAATCACACAATCATAATCTAAAAAAGAGCTACCGAACATAACCATGCATTAAAAACTTGTACATTACATAGAAATCTGTAAATCCAACACTAAAATATACCCAATACCCTTATTTTAATGTGGGGTGAGAATCAATTGTAGCAATGGCATGCTACCTTTACAAAAAGCATGCATGAGTGACACTTTATGGGCCAAAGAACACCATTATCTTTTTGAAGCATGGGTTCTTTGTGGAAAGAATAAAGACCAAATAAATAAGAATAGAAGTCTTAAGTGGGAGGCACAATTTTTCTTCCCTATAAAAAAGTTCATTACTTTTTAGAGAATAGATGTTTTAAATCAGTGCATTAATAACTTGTACATCATGCATCATGTGTTGTATATTGTTTTCGATTCGAGGATTTTGAACTTTGAAAATATACAGTGATGGGATTTTTGAACCATCTTACGTGATTTTTAACATATATATACTATATTATAAAATATTTACTATATTATAAAATATTTGACAAAAAAAATTTAAAAACCATTTTTATGCATGAAGTATTGTTTATTGATGCATATTACTTAAAACTCAATATTACAAGTAAATTGTGTGTATGTACAACTTATTAAAGCTTAATGTTTGAATTTGTGTAACTAATTGTATCTAAACATAATCAAATAGATGATAGATATTTCATTTTAAATATTAAAAAAATCTAAAATATAATTAGGATAATCATTAAGTTCTAATAAAATACTTAATTATTATCTTTATAAAAAATTATATTATTAAACAAAAAATTAAAAAAAATTAAAGAAATACACAAAAAAGGAGAAATTTTGAATAGTTAGTTTAGTACTAATATCAATATTTTTTTTGCAATTTTTTATGATATATCATCATTTTTATATTTTATTCAAAAATAAAAATATTATCGTTTTCTCAAAACCACATAAAACCATATTATAACACTGATCGAGACAAAAAAAAATGAAACTTTAAAATTGATGTATCTCTCTGCATTGTGCAAGTACCTTTCTAGTATATATGTTATAGAATATCATATTTTTTTAATACAAAAAATTGTTTTGTAAGAATTAATGATTTGGAATGAAAATTGAGTACGATGCTGTTTTTACATTACTGGTTAGAAATGATCAGTTGAACAAGTCGTCCAGACAATTTGAAATTGGTCAATCAGATTCGACCAACTTGCTCGTACTTTTTATTCAGTTCTTTAAATTTCACAAATAATCGGGTTATTAGATATAATTACAAAAAGGTTATTAAAATACACCCAAACTTTTTAAAATATTTGAACATTTTTTAATTATTTTTTAATTTTGCCCTTTTAATATAATCCC